GAAATCCATATGTAGCAAAATGAAATTAAACCTCTCTCTCTCACCCTGCACAAAAATCAACTCAAAGTGGATCAAAGACATAGGTCCTAGAACAGACACCTTATGCCTAATAGAAGAAAATATAGGTCCAAATCGTCATCATGTTGGATTAGGACTTGATTCTTTAACAAGATTCCTAAAGTGTAAGAAGTAAAATTAAGAACCAATAAACGCAATGGATTCAAACTAAAAAGCTTCTTCTCAGCACAGGAAACAATCAGTAACACGAAGAGAGAGTCTTAGAATGGGAAAAAAAAACTTTACCACATGCACCTCTGATAGAGCACTCATCTCTAGGATATATAAAGAACTCAAAAAACTTAACACCAAAAAACCCCAAATAACCCATTCAATAAATGGGCTAAGGAACTGCATAGATACTTCACAGAAGAAGAAATACAACTGATAAACATATGGAAAAATGTTAATTATTTCTAGCAATTAGAGAAATGCAAATCAAAACTACTTAAAGATTTCATCTTACTCTAGTCAGAATGGCAAGTGCTGGTGAGGATGTGGGGGGAAAAAGGCACACTCATACATTGCTGGTGGGACTGCAAATTGGTACAGCCACTCTGGAAAGCAGTATGGAGATTCCTCAGAAAACCTAGAATTGACCCGGCTATCCCACTCCTCATCTTATACCTAAAGGACTTAAAAATCAGCACATAACAGTGATGCAAGCACATCAATGTTTATAGCAGCTCAATTCACAATAGCTAAATTAGGAACCAACCCAGATGCCCTTCAACAGATGAATGGATAAAGAAAATGTGGTATATATACACAATGAAATATTACTCAGTCTTAAAGAAGAAATTATAGCATTTATAGGTAAATGCATGGAACCAGAGAACATCATGCTAAGTAAAATAAGCTGATCCCAAAAAACCAAAGGCCAAATGTTTTCTCTGATAAGTGGATGCTGATTCACAGTGGGGGGAGAGATAGAGAAGAATGAAGGAACTTTGGATTGTGCAGAGGGGAGTGAGGGCACTGGGTGGGACTGTGTGGCTGTGAAGGACAGTAGAATTAGATAGACATTATTACCTATATGATTACACTACTGCAGTGACTCTGCACCATCTGCCAGAGGAATGAAAAGCTGCGCTCCATTTGTATTCGATGTGTCAAAATGTATTCTACTGTTATGTATAACTAATTAGAACAAATTAAAAAAAAACAGAAGGGAGGCCAGTAGAATAGAAGAAGGGGATAGGGGAGGGAGGGGAGGTACTGGGGAATGAAACTGATCTAATTATACTGTTTTATTGTATGCATGCATGAACATATTATAAAAAATCCCACTGTTATGTATAATTATAATGTGCCAATAAAAAGGGGATGGGGAAACCCAAATGGACAGAGTGTTGCTCAAACCCCGAAACCCAGAATTTTTTAAGAGCCTAATATACAGGCTTTAAAAAACAAGTTTGGCAAATGTTTCATTTTATCCAAATAGGTAAATCCCATGCCCTGGGCTAGGTTTGAGCTCAGGGCAATCAACAAAGCAGTTACAGCCTCTTGCCATGCTCACAAGCTAGGGAGAAAGCTAGACGCCAATCACTGTCTTTCACAAGGGATGAGGAACCTATAAGTTTCTGAAACAAAGGCAAACCAGCACAGGCTGCTGAATTCTCCCCAACTCTATCTCAGAGATGACAAGAGTGAGTCAAGTGGAGAAATTAAAAAGAAAACAAAAGACAATGTAATGAAACAAGAGTGATAAAACGAAAGAAATTAATGAAAAAAAAAAGTACAATAAAAATATATAGAGCCCCAAAATAACTTGCTATAGGGAAGATTGTGGAAAGATCATTCTGAAAATGAAAATGGACAAGAGGGAAACATAAAATAAAAAGGGGAAATAACAGAGACACAGGAGAGATAATCACAGACTATCCCAAACAACAAGAGGTCCCAGGCCTAGATATCCTTTAAGGATGGGGGCTACCCGACTCTAAAGAAACAAACCACGGAGCCTTTTCTTCTCTGTGGCTCCATGAAGCTCTTGTTGAGCAAGAATGACAATGCTTCTACACAGGGAATAAGAGGAGGATGCCTGCTCTTACTGCACTGCTCAATACAGTATCACAGACCAGACCAATCCAATAAAAGAAGATGTATAAGAACTGGGAAAGAAAGACAGAAAACCATTATTGCAGATAACAGGACTTCTATGTACATCATCACAACACAATGAAACAAACTACAGGACATAATATCAATTTAAAAAATCATATTCTTACATATTAGCAATAGCCAAGTAGCAAATATAAAGCACAACCCCATTCACAATAGCAACAAAATCTACAGATAGTCTAGACATTTTCTTTTTTTTTTAAATACTTTTTTTAGTTATAGTTGGACACAGTACCTTTATTTTATTTATTTATTTTTATGTGGTGCTGAGGATCGAACCCAGGGCCTCACACATGCTATTTGAGTACTCCACCACTGAGCCACAACCCCAGCCCCCTAGACATTTTCTTTAAAGGTCTCATAAAGATACAAGGGCCTTTCTGGAGGCAAATATTTAAATTCCATTAAAGAACACAAAGGAAGATTTAAATAAATAGATGATGTTCATGGGTGACAATTCCCTCCACAGTACTTGAAAAAAGTAATACAATTCCAATCAAAATGCTAGTAATAATTTTGGAGAAAACTGTATTCCAAAACTAAGATAGTAATAAAAGCAAATATAGTAACAAAAACAGAATTGAGCAAATAAACCAATAAATGGAAGAGATGGATCAAAAGCAGACCTATGTACAAATGGGAAATGTATATGATGGTGGCTGCCCTATAAATCATTAGAAGAAAGGATGTGTCATTTGGATGTTTCTGAAGCTGTCCTTACTCATCTTCTCTCGACTCCAGTTTCTTCCTGTGGCCACTGTCCAGTTTCTGTTGCTTTTTATAGAAAACTGATAAAAATTGTCATCTACTTTATGTTCAATCCCTTTCTTCCCAGTTTCTGAGGAGCCTCCTGCTACCAGGCATTCCACCCCTACTGAAGTGCTCACTGTCACAATAAACTCCATATTATGAAATCAAAGACTTATCAATGTTTGGTGACCTGCCAGGACTGTCAGAAGCAGCACGCTGCATGCTGACCTACAAAACCACCTTCTTCAGTTGGCTTCTGGGACCCTGGACTCTTCTGCTCTGCCTTTTCCTTACTTGATTTCCTTCGCTGTTTTTTTTGACTTCTTCACACTGAAATGTCTTAAATAGTATCTCTATGCTAATGGCTTCAAGCTCAGGACTTATTCTCAAACTTGTGTATCCAAATGCCATTCTCTACTGGATGTCTGATGAGCATGCTAAGCTTAATACATTCAACACTGAATTTCCCCACCAAATATTTCTTCCAGTTCTATGCATTCACTTATCAGCTACTCCATTTTGTTGCTCAGTCCAAAAACCTTAAGATCAACCTCGAATCTTCTTTCTCACTCACCCTGCATTTGAACTTCTGGCAGACAAGAGTGGATTCCTCTTCAAATATATCCAGAACTCAAACACTTTTAACTGCTACTATGGAGGTGAAACTCAACACCACCTTCTGCCTGCATCAATCTCTTAACTAGTCTCCTTGCTTCTGTTCTTATTACAGAACAATATATTATTTCACACTACACAAGAGTAATTATGTCATGACTTAAATCTAGTTGTGCTATACCACTCTTTCATGCAAAATCATGCCGTCCCGTCGTGCCTGAGCCATGGCCAACAAGGGCATCACCTGGCCCTCACCTTCCATGGCTTCCCCTACTTCTCCCCTCTTGTCACACTGGCCTCAGACTTCTGTTTCATCTGTCGTCCCTTCTACCTCTCCTTCAGCATGTGTTTAGTATGAGGTACTTGGGAGAGTCTCCAAGTGTTGCTACTGAGTAGGTGAGTAGATGTAAGGCCTGGAGTCCCAAAGTGTGGCAGAGAGAAACAAAACTGTGATTTGTCCACACACGGGGGTCATGAAACAATTTAAAACTTCAGGTAAGGAAGAAGGCAAAAACCCTAAGACGGCAATGAAAGAAAAGAGGGCCAGCAACGAAGTCCTAAAGAGCAGGGTTTTGAAGAAAGCCTTTAAAGGAGACAAAGATAATACAATTCAAAGCTGTAGAAGGAAACCCACAAATGTGGTGTAGCAGAATCTCAAGAAGGAAAGAAAGAGTGGTCACCTGTGTGAAAACCATGGCGACATAAGACAAGCCTGGTGGATTTTGTATCACAGTAACGACCAGTGGGGACAGGACCTCCACAGGATTGGTAAAGAGTAAAAGCCAGGTCTCAGCAGTAGGTTTCTAGTACAAGTGAGAAATGAGAATGCAGAGAAAGCACACACAAATCTTGAGAAGATTAGTTACAAAGAGAAACCGAGAAATGGGGTAGATATGCTAGAGGGAAATGTGGGGCCATGAGTACGGGGAGTTTAAGGATAAGAGGGTTGAGAGGACTTGAATGTTACTGAAATAACTCAGCAAAGGGGAGGGACTGATGATAAGGCAGAGTGGACAACCAGTGGTGCTCAGTCCTTAAGAAAGATAAAGGGCCTGCAATGACTTGTATATAATAGAGCAGGGGCTGGAAAATGGGGAAGATTAAGTGACAGCAATGTGGTTAGGTTGCCCACAAAAAGGAACTTCAGAGAGAATAAAAGGCGGGACAGAGCTGGGGTAGATGGAGGCCTGGACTCTGGAAAGGAACACAGTGAAGGACATCTGAGGCTGTGGTTGATGAATGTGCAGGGCTCCCAGCATCCTGCAGTGTGCTGGCATATTAATATTTCAGGAACCAATGCAACTGGAATCAACAAGTAATATCCCTCCAGCATGAATCATGCAAGACTAACTTCTGCTACTATCACAGACACACCCAGAATTCTAATTGTCTCTGCCCTACTTTATCTGGAACAGCTGCAATCTACTCCTTTACCTACTCCCCTTTTCTTTCAGCAGTCCCTGGTTTCCATATGGTGCAACAGAGAAAGACTTCCACAACTGAAAAGGCAACAAGGAAACCCTCAGGCAGTGTGAGATCATTTCCTATGAGACCAGAAATCAGCGTGAAGATGTCACACCAACCTTATTTTTTTTCTCAAGAGGAATCTTAAAGAACTGCTCCTCTGCAATTTTTACTTTTTATAAAAAGAAAACAAACACATGTAACATTCACTGCAATTTCATTTCTTTTTCATGTCTTAATTTAAAATAAAACTTAGTTTACTAAAAAGTAACATGGGCAGGAGGAACTAGGTGCCATCCAGTGACATAACACTTAACACTCTTTATCTGTGCAGATTAAGAGCAATACTACAGTGTTTACCTTGGTGATTTCTTGTGGGAAGATGCTGGACTATTACTTTTATCTTCTGTATTGCTATAATATGTTGTTTATAAAAACAAAGGCACGATTCTTTAAAACAATGGCAGAAAAGTTGCCCCAGTTTTATACCTAAATAAACAGTTGAGTGAGCTGTTTTTGGTTTCTCGGCTGCAATGTGGTCAAATTTTAAACTTTTCATTTGTTGTTTAAGTATGGTACAGATAATTATGTTGGTTGAAAATTATATCACTTACCCTTGTAAAGATTTATGAATTTGCTGGCACTTTTTCTTCAGCACTGCAAAAATACCTAAATGGAAAAAAAAATTTGGTAGTATAACCTAAAAATATTTTTAAAGGCCCAATTCAAGTGCATCAATTTAAAATGCTGCAGGTCTTTTTAATTAGTATCACTGAGCCAGTATCAGCACTCCTCTGAAAGCTTGAACTTTGTCTTTGGCACCTATTACCTGGCCTCTTCTCACCTGGACACTCCACTTTCAGCAAAATCTGGAATGATGATTTCTGAGTAAAACAACTACTCTTGTTATTCCAAGATTCTACAGATAACATGGCAAAAAATAAAAGTGTACAAATCTACTACTTATTTCTTTATTCTAAATTATTTGGTAAAAAAAAGTCAACTATAACATTAAAAAAAATTTTAATGTCATAAAATTTTTTTTAATTTAAGGAAAATTCAAAAACAAAAGTATCTGACCAGGAAGCAGAGGAGTCAGGCCACCTCATAAGTAAGCTTCTGAATGTATGCACAAATTTGACTCATATCTTCTGATTCTCTGAATTAATGTCAACACTGAAGATTCAGGCATGCCAGGTATCAGGCCTGCTTCTCCCTTCGTTTTAGTTTTGGTAAGGTGGTACTATTACAGCCAAAGACCACATTTTAAATTATCCGTTGACTTTTATTCTGCTAAGTAAGCTATTGGTAAACCAGGCTTGGCCTCAGTACTAGCTGATGATTCAAAGGCTTTAAGAAAAAACTAAAATAGTTATAAATTCAGAAATACCAAAGAGCAGCACATTCTGGTTAATTTCTTAAAAAACTATAAACCAAACAGTGACTGGAAAATTTACATGAATGACCACATCTAGGCCAGCACTAATGTAACCCCCCTCCTCTGGGCATCTTCTCCAGCTACAGCAGCCAGCCATGCTTTGTCTCCATCTCCAAGCCTAGGACAGAAGCTCTGGTCCATGCCTTTGAGGCAGGGACAACTTCTTCACTGTCATTCTTCCTATAATTGCCAGATACAGGATGAGAACTCCTCATTCAAAATGCTTGGAACATTTCAGATTTCAAGAGTTTTTTGAATTTTGTAATATTTACATAAAACTTACTGATTGAGATTCCCTAATTTGAAAACCTGAAATGTGCGTGTCTATCCTCAAAAAATATTGAATTCTGGATTTCAGATTTTCAGAATAGCAATGTTCAACCTGAAATGTGATTCGGAGCCTAAATTTTATTTTGGTAAATAATTTCCTTTAGCTAATTCCTCCAAAAAGCAAGACAGTAACATAGTTAAAACAACCTGAGTTTAAAAGATTGTACCTGGATTCTCTTCCATGATGTTGAGGGCTTCAATGGCAGCAGCAGCCAACAAAGGAGGTAGTGAAGCCGAAAAGCAGTACCCCTGGCCGGAGAGTCGCTAGGAAGGAACAGTCAGAAGCATCACACATACTTCTTGGGGTAAATATTTGGAAGGCCTGGGTCTTGACACTATCTACTGAACAGTGTCTCCACATGTGGTGAAGGGGTAAGATTCAGCCACGAGTAATCCATACAAAGACTTGTTAAAATGGAGATAATTCCTAAAGATACTGAGAGAGTCTTAAAAAATTAAAAACTGATAAATTGAGAGTAAAATTCTGTATCATTCTGAGGTGACAATGAAGCAACCAGTGTCAGATTTTGTTTGTTTTTAAGAAAGGCTTACCTGATGGTCAATTACAAACGACCTGCCACAGCAGAAACCTCCAATGGAAGCAAGTGAATTCTCCATGTTGGCACTAATAAGATCAATATCATCAATCTGAGAAAATCAGGAGAAAGTGATAGTTATTCCTCCATGGGGGGAGACAACATGGATGGACATCAATTCTAGAGATAAAACTTCAGTGTTAATTATGTCTGTAAATATATGGACTCAAACAAGCTACCTACATGAAAATAAAAGAGTAAAAAAAGATTAAAAAAAAATCATTAAATCTATTGCTATAAGAATCACAGTTTTATGGTCTTCTCTGAAGTGTCTCATTTTACACTTTTCTGCTATTTCATCATGCATTCACACTCAAAGCGGAAAAGTAAATTAAAAGATGAAATCTGAAGCAGTTTAATGTTAAAAATACAGTTTACAAAATAAGCTTTTTCCACTGCTAAAACAGTGGGCTAACTAGCCTTTACCCCAGAAAAAACTAAATCTACCTTTTTTTTTTTTTTTTTTTTTTTTAAGAAATTACTCCAAAACTCCAAATATCATGGCAATAGAATTTCTGACCAAAGCAGACCAACTGGGCAGTGATAAACCTAACTAGCTACCCTACGGGCCTCTAAGTTCCTACATCTTCTGATCTTGTACTTTTGCTCTCTTCTTTTGCTCCATCCCCTAGCATCAAGTTCCATTTTGGGTACATAGCAGGAGTTCAATTAAGTTCTTCCTTTTTTAAAAATTTATTTTATGTGGTACTTGGAATTGAACCCAGGGGCACTCTACTGCTGAGTTGCATTCCTGGTCCTTGAGTTAAGGGCTTTTGTTAGGTTGTTGAAGGTGGTCTTGAACTCGAGACTCTTGCCTCAGTCCCCTGAGAAGCTGGGATTATAGGTATGTACATGGCATCTTCAGTAACTACATCTTGAGGACTGTGATAATGAATTTGATAGTTAGTTCACATCTGGTGTGTTTTTAAGTGATTCACAGATGCAACAAAGATCTACATTCCTGCTAAACTTCTATAATCTTGCTCTTAAAAAAAAAAGATTGTTAACCTTTTATTATGAAAAGTTTCAAGCATATATAAAAATATAATAGAATGAAGAAAGCCCATCACCCAGATATAATCATCACCAACTCAAGAACAACCCGGTTTTGTCTATGGCCCCATATTACCTGCCCTCATCACCTGTTTGCAACAAATCCAGACAGATCCTTTTACTACTATCATAAACTTTTAAAAGGACTTCTAAGGCAATTTTTAATGATTTTAGTAAATGCATTGCAAACTTTAACTGATTCTAGAAAGAGACATGAAAAGTCAAGATCACACACTCCCACTTCCAGAGGGAAGATGGGTTCCCCTGGCCAGAATGACCAAACCCACTGTGGGCTCAGTGAGAAGACAGAGACCATAGTTTCATCCCTCCACAGGGATGAGAAGCACTGTCTTATATCTATGAAAACCCAGCACAATAGAGCCATATGTTTCCTATAGGAGGGGAATTTCCCCCAAATGGAGAACTTACACTGATTCCATAGTGCTCAGTGACTCCTCGGCCATGCTCCCCAAGGACTCCAAATGAAAGACTTTCTTCCAAAAAGATTCTTGCTTTGTATTTATATTTTAATTTAACCTAGGTGTTAAATAAAAAAATAAAAAAATCCAACTTTAAAATACTAATGATTAGCAGCAAATAGAGTATATTTCAATGAAAAAAGTTAAACCTGAAAATGTAAGCACAGTTGACTCAATATTTGTGAATCCTATATTTGCAAATTCACCTGTTAAAATTTACTTGGAATCTCCAAACCAACAACTCTCTTTACATATACAGTGTCAGAAGATGGGCATGTGTAGTGTTGTGGTGAAGAATTCAAGTTATCTGACACTCGTGTTCTTAGCTAAAGTTGAATAAGTCACTGTTTCAGCTCAGATACTGTTAACAAGTACCCTTTTCATGGACGTTACTTATTGCCACACTTTTCTTGTTTTGGTGATTCTCTTGGCGATTCTGATATTTAAAATGGCTCCCAGTTGTAGGGTTGAAGTGCAAGAAGACTATGAAGTACCTTGAGAAACCCTGTGTCAGAGAAGCTTCTTTCAGGCATGAATTTTAAGGGCTGCTGGCTATAGGTTCAGGATGAATGAGTAAACAATATGTATTATGTATTAAACAAGGTGGCTTTACACAGAAACACACTTAAAACAAGGTGTTTTAAGTGTGACAAAAATGTTGTGACTAGAGGCTCACAGAAACCTAATCTTAACCCTTATTTGCCTCAGTAGCATAGCTTAGCATTCCCATGTCAGCATTTGTAGCAATACTTGGTAGAACATAACTATGGTGAATGAGAATTGAGTATACTTTAGATCTCTAAAATGATCCAATTTAACTCAATAAAAAAGACAGCACAATACGAAATTTTTAAAAAGTAAATGTTAAAACAGTTATATGTACAGGCATGTAATCCATCTGTTATACACTGGTCTGACTGTACATACAAACTCCTGGGGAAATGTAGATATTCTTCCCTTGGTGGCTTTAATTTGTAATCTTGTTTTCATTAATATGGTTCATTAGTCAAAAATGTTTTTCTCTTTATTTTCAGGCTTAGGTGGGTATTAATCTGTATCTTTTCTAATTATTTCACTGGTTTAAAAGAACACAATCTAATAATCCATTAGAAGCTGATATATGCATGTTTGTCTACAGATATTTTTTCTCTAATGTACAATTAATTTACCCATATAATTTGAATATAATCAGTTTCATGACTGAATTAAATATAGCAATCAGCTACTACATTTTTATGTACATGACGGGAACAATAGTTCTAAAGTCTTCCTCTGACTTATGTATCTGTTCTTGGGTCAGAATCACACTTCTAATTATAAGTTTAATTACTAAGACCATTTTTCTGCTGAAGCTACAGAAATAATACATAAAATA